ACGCGAGCGCCGCCGCAAGAGCGCCGGACAGGACAAGAACTGCATCATCTCGTGATACCGGCCCCCCTCAGCCCCCCAGACCCTAGTGACGTCAACCTCCGACAGAAAGACTGACTTTTTGATAGTTTTCTTAGCACATAACGCCATAGTAATTTAATGAATAATGTAGAGAAATCGTCTTCCTCATAAAAGATAATACTCAATATGTTGCTCAAAGTCGAAGTATTAAAATAGTAACGTCCTTATATTGCTCCGTGACGTGTGCAGTCTCACCAGAAAACGTGTGCACGCTTTATTTACTTTAACATACTACAAATGAACTATACTTTTTGTTCCGGTGGTACATAGCAAACTTGCGACCTTGCATTTGTCCAAATTGCCGGTTGTTGTGAATGAATGCAGACTTGGTTATTGAGATTCAGATGAATCACACAGAAATAAAAAACAATTTAAAAAATTAATGATAGGACTGAAATATATTACATATATTTTTCTAAACCTCTAAAATGTAAATGAACTGAAATCTGGCAACGACAAAAACAGCTACAATATAAAATTGTGATTGTGTTTTAGTAGCACCGTGAAAAAGTTCGTAGGGAATTTTGTGTAGCGTGAAAGCGATTAAGACTGAGCATAGTCGCATGTTATTTATATTTTATTGTAAAACTCTCGACGGAAACGCCAGAAAAGCTAAATGCGTGATTATAATCAAGCATTAGCCCCATTCCTTCACACAAGTAGGCACGGAACAAATGCTTCCCGTACACTCACGCTATGTTTCTCTTGAAACTCTCATATTATTTGTCGGCATTCGGAAAGACCACTGAAATTTTATACGTTTAAACAGATTTTGATATTTGTATGAACAGATACAAAAGTAATTGAAGAGTTGTTAACCTTTTGCATATAAATATAACGTAATACGAAATTGTGTTTCTTTGTATTTCGAGTTGTTGAACGTGCGAAGTCAACTTGTTTTATTGCTTGCGCGTTTTTTCATATCTTGTTTGTAAAACGCCATTATTATTTATGACATATCTTTGCCACTAAGTGTACGACTTGGTTAGTTCGTAAAGAAATTGTAAAACAAGTACAAATGTATTGTATTGTATAACTGAAGATGTGTTCAGATATTGTAAATAATGTTTACAGCTCTAAAGTTGCCTTACTTAGTACAATAAGAATCCCCTTGTATGAGCGCGGAGCATTGCCAAGGTATATAAAAAATAACCTGTAAATGTTAGGGTTTCGTAAGCATATCTTGCCAAACATAACCTCAAAAAAATCTCAAAATATGTTGTCGTCCCTTTCATTCCGTTTTAGAAAATAGGGACATGTTTAATACAAGGTGGAATTTCGCGGTTATTCTGTCACTGAGATTGTCCGTATCTCCGTTGTGCAGTCTATATCTGGGCAAAGTCCGAGCACTCGCTGTCGACTGTCGACCTTCACATCTCTGAGCTATTGCAGTTTATACAACAAAGAATATATTATTTCCTGCTTTTAAAAAGAAAAAACATTGTGTCCATGCGACGAAGGATAATCGCTAAAAATTAAATGAAAACCAGAAATGTTTCGAATAATAATTAGAAAAATGGTATAAAAATGTGTATATTTCTTTACAAAATAATTATATTAATACATTTTATTACGGAACCCAATATTATCTTTAAACTTTCATAAATTTACAAATAACCAAATATTTCAGAATTCACTTTTAAAAATCACTATAAAAATAAATTGCTTGCTCTCGTGTGTAAAATGAATGGTTTAATTCTTTTATTTTCACTTGAAACATAGTATATTTCTTCAAATGTTGCTTTCTTGCCCAAGTATGGCAGCAAACAAGAGATTGTCCAAAAACAGATATTTATAACAACTTTATTCACTAAGATTTGTACAAAATGTAATTGCGACAACTGTCGTATTGTTTTGTAAGTTATTTTGTAATATCGAGAGAATAAAATGTTTTTGAATGATAATATTTTTTATTTATATCACCTCTTTTCTCAAAATATCTAAAATTACAAATACTTCTCACTCCAACAGTCGACTGACCCATCTTAGGTTTATCCAGAAAGAAAAATTAGTGAACAATAAATCATGCTTGATTCTCTCAGGTAACTATCAGCTGTTGTACAGTCGTGGAAATACACGATGTTCCACTTATAGAAATATTGCCAAGTTCCTTGCAACGAAACCTCTTCTTACAAATAATCAATTAGGTGGCAGTTAGTTGCGGTTACAACGGAATAACAATAAAAAACAATAACAAACTGACCGACCTTTTTTCATACAGCATAAAAATCCGTATTCACTTGTTTCGTATCGTCTTTCGAGCGACTAACTTTTAGGATGAACGGCGTCAAATTCCCCGATTGTACTTACACTACACTTGCAGACTGCAGTGTACCGGCGCGGCGTGTGCGATATACGCCGTGTGGGAAAACGCGCGATGCACTTTTCTATGGTAATATCAATGACTGTTGGACTTTCTCTTTATGTCTTATTGTGGTAACAGGTTCTAATAAAGGGAAAACTGTTTAAAAAGTGATGCCACAGTTGTTACAACCTCTTATAACCAATTATCACAGCTACTAATCTATGATATACTGTTCTGTGTATTTTTAAAGACCAAAAACCATAGAGAAGACAGGCGTAGAGTGACAGTAATTACGTGTATTGTCTCTTCCCCATAGAAATGATGGGAAAGAGAAGATGGAATGTATAAGTAGGGGAAATACCCTCTTTATGTGAGTCCCCTCTTCTGCTGGGTAGGGCAGTGGTCGCTTGGCGAATGGCGTATTCCGGTGGCAAACCATAGACAAAGATAATAATGCCTACTTACCTTACTTACAATAAAGACGAACGAAAGTTATACCTCTGTAACAATCTGGTGTAAAATGCAAGCAAAATGACAATCGACAATCGGATTAGTAGCATTTTCATTAAAAAACAGAATTGCAAACATTTTTGAAAAAATTACAAGATTATCGTGACCGAGGTTTGCGATTTCAAATCTTGAAGCAAACAGTCAACAGCTTTCACGAATAATACAACAGAAATTTCCCAAAAAAAACGTGAGTCTTTGAAAGTCACATTTTCCAAACAAAAACAGAAAATGTGATTACATCTTTTAATTAAGCACATTTGTTAAAATTATCTATTTTAACTCTTAAAATATTTTCAAGTTCTTTTTCTAACTACCTACATCAAGGATGTAATGTTCTAGACAGCGGTAATATTCTTGTGAGATTTTTCTTTCACTCTCAAAATACTTGCACATCTTTCCCTATTACTGTAAAAAATAGGGTTATTATACCAGCTTTAAAATAAGTACATAATAATTTAAGCGCGCCCTTCAACAGCCCTTTCTAAATACCACATAATTAGTTGAGAGACAAATATATTTATACTACAAATTAGATCCACGCATAACCCTTTTAAGTATTTGACCTTGAAAAACGATAGGGAGATACTTTAATATGAAAATAACCAACCCTTAGGGTTGAAATTGTTCACAAAAGCCGGTTCAACTTAATCACGAGTGTCACGCGAGACCATTAAGTCATTATGGATATTAAGGCAGTGATTAATTACCGAGGGTAGTCAACCCCTGTCTCAAAGGGTTGAAGTGGCTCTTGATGGAGCGTGCAAAGATAATTCAGGCGTGAAATTTGAAAAAATAAATTATGAGAAACAAAATAGAAACCTTGATAAAAAATATTTTATCCACTAAAATACGTAAACTAAAGTTTTTTTTAAGTTGTGTAAATTTTGTTTTGTCGTTATTATTTGTGTTTTATTTTTGTACTTTAGTTGGCCAATAAGTAGTGTTTTATTTGATTTATTTATTTTATTTCAAGATAAATGTAACAAAACAATATGACATGAAGTTAGGTACATAAAATTTCAATTTTTAAGGAGAGGGTATTCACGCCATTAGTAAGTACACATTTACATGTGTTTATAAATTTAATTGGTTTCTTAACGAGATATTGAGCGACAATATCCGAGTGGTGGTTGTAAGGGCTGTGCCCCCGCCGGTCCCTGCGTAC